TAATTTTGTACACCATAGAATGTAAAAATCAAAAATGCCAAAATATGTTCCATAAAATAGTTTCTTCTTCAATATAATTTCATGTGCGAGGCAGAAAAAAAAAAAAAGAGTTTATGAAAAATTTATAGCCTGTAACAAAATGAATTAAAATTAAAAAGTAATAATAATAATAATAGTTAGTTTATGTAGAAAAAAATATAAATATATGCAAATTTTGTTATAAATAGAAAATATAATATTATAGAAAAAAAATTTTAGATAAATTATTATGATTTTCAATATTTTTTCTTATTTTTTTCGCAATATCGCAAAAAAAATTCATTCAACCCACCCATATATAAAACATCAACAACTAATTTTAGTTCACTTTTCACTGAATTAAAAATTTTTCTATATAGGGGGGGAGTCATTACAATGTGTTCTATCAGATACCATCGCTTAGGCCAACAAAAGTTAGACAAAATTTGTCTAATTTAAAATTTGAAATTTCAAGTATGGTGTCAAATTTTAAAAATTTTGAAGAAATTTTCTTCTTTTTCAAGTTCTTTTCCCTATAACGTCTACTCCAAGAAAGATAAAACTTTTTGAAACGGCTAGTAAAAACTGGAAATTAATCCTATGAAATCCTATTTTGTATTGTATGAAATCCTATTATGTAATATACTTTCGAAATAGCGAGTGTGTTTATTTTAGAAAAGTTCAAATTGCTCCTTTTTTTAGTTTTCTTCAACATGATAAATTCGTATGAAATTTGTTGAAACTTCAAAAAAAAAATTTATGGAATTTTTTCCAGTAAAACATTCAAATACCTTTAATGGACCAGGAAATAGAGCAAAAAAAAACTCCCATTTGAATTTATTTATACATCACCCTGTAGATCAAACATTTTTAATCTTAAATATTTCTTTAAATGAAGCAGAACTTAAAAATTTAAAATACTTTTGCATAAATACATACAAACATACAAAATATTATATTTTTGGTTTGAGAAAAAAAGACAAAAAGTTATTAAGATGTGATGAAGATTATATAAGAGATGAGATATAGAACGTCCTTTAGTTTCCGCACCTATAACTTTGACACAATAATTTTAGTATTTTTTATTTTTCTCTCATTTGTTTATATCGTTTTTGTTCTATTTTAGCGTGAAAAATTATTTGCTATTCATTCAAACGACAAATAAAATAACAAGTTGTAAAATGATCCAAGATACAAGAATATTCCACGCCATTTATACTGGCATTATATAATTCTCTGTGTATTTTTATATGAGTAATGCTCATAAAATCAAATGAAACGAAAATGAAAAACAAAAAGTATAAAAAAAATGTATAAAATCATAGATGGAAACTGAAATTATGATAGAATTGTAAGGTAAATTCATAAAATATTTGATCAGATACTGAGTATTGTATAGTTTAAGTCTCAAGTTATAAGATTATAACAATAATATCTATTGCAGTCTGTAGTAAAAAATCCAAAAACGAAAAAAAGTCAGTGACGGTTCTTTAAAATGTAGGTTGTATAGGTAGTATTGAGAGGTGGTGACGAAAAATATTGAATCGCCGAAGGGGGTTTTTAGAACGCGATTCTTCTGATGCACCGGGGTAACTTATGAGATCGGACAGAGCACAACCGTGCCTTATTATCGTGTTATTGGAAGAATTTGGCTTCTTTTGTGGATCAATTGCCCAAATTCTCTTAGAAGGTATGCAGATGTCTCACTCTCTACTCTACATATACTAGAACAATTATTCTCTTCTAGGCCAAGTTTCCTTATCTCTGATTCGACAGCACATATCTGAGATCCCTTACTTGGTTTCATGTACATTCTCATTATTACTTTAGATCGTTTTAGTCATAGTCGTCTGAGTAACGTGTTTCCACCCGTCAATGCAATGGAGGATATCTTCAGTGCTCGGATCGCTCACCCTCTAATTCCTTCCTTAGCTCTGCTGGAATTATATGAGGCTAAAATATCTCTAAGCACGTCTTTGACCCATTCGTATAAAGCAGAATGGTATGTGACCCACCCTTCCCCCACGGTCCAGACACTTCAGTTTCTTCTGTTACCTAATATCAGAGGTAAGATCTCCTTCGAGAGTCGCTCTTGTCCTGGCTTCCAGTTAAGTTGGTGTGTATTGATGTTTGGTGAATATAACTCTGGATCTTTTCGTTCTAACCTTTGACTATATTCTTGCACTAACACGATTCTTGTATTAAAGAATGAAAAGCTCGTCACTAAAGCTCATAAATAACAAAATAAAATAAACAACACTTTATCATATTTACCGTAAAAAACAAAATGTCTCCACCACTGATATTATAAATTGATTGATTTCCTATACTACAAGATTGATAAGGAACAAAAAAAGTAAACTTTATAGAAAAATAACAAAAAAAAGACTATTGAAAATACTTACCGAAACTTAAATTGAATCAACAATTTCAAAGATTATAAATGTTTTATTTCATCACTTTAGCACCTTTTATATCACCTTTAATATCAAAAAAACTGGCAGTATTAGAAAAATTTTCAATGAATTTATAATCAATTCGTGATTTATTTTGAACACAATAGAATCATTAAGGACATGCACATCCTCCTCTTTATTACATCAACATAAATGGTCATTTTATATTTAATTTAAATATTTAAATTTTATTACAAAATCTATATATACTTAATATAAATGTAAATGATTAAAATAATGTGTAAATTATGCAAAATACATGAAATTGTTATTTTACAATAATTATGTAATTGAATGTAATTGTTAGTTTAAATATAAGAAATTATTTTGTTTTTGTGCGTAATTGCTAATTATTATATTGGAATAGATAAGCAGATCTTTCTATTGCTAAAAATGGTTATTTTAACGATTTAACTTGAAAAAGTAAACGTTGATTTTAATCTTAAGTGTTCAATAACAAATCACCTTTGTTTAAGATTGATATTTAATTTACTCTGTGGTTAAAAACGATTAAGTTAGAATTACCAGTTTCGAGAAAGACAATAACAAAAATCACGCTTTTAAAATTTAGAATTCAATAGAGATTCGAAATTTAGATTAATAACACAACAAAGAACTGAAATAATTTTCAAGTTGAATGAAGCGCAGTTTTGCATCAGTATCACAGAATTAATGGTATAGAATTTAACAATTTATTTAGTTAGCTGTGAATGCTATGTATTAGTTAGTTAGCAATTAAAATCTCATATATTTTTAATATTTCAAATAATTAATTCTAGATTTGATCTTATACTGTTTGTAGGTATATGTAGTTAATTTTTGATAAATATCATATTTATGTGCTTTGAATTATGAAACTAAATTATGAAAGATCACCATTCTTATCATGTAGAATATTTAATTCACAATCGCTCTGTTCTTAAATTTTAAAATCTCGTTCACTATTTAATTGCATAATATTATAAAATTTTATAATTTATGTATTTATTTAAATATATTACCTACATACAATATATATATATATATATATTAGGTATACATGTCAAAAAATACTCACATAACTGAGTTTTTGTGAAATCTGGTTTTGAAAACAAAGAAAAAAAAAAAAATTTCAACTAGCTTCAAAAAATTTTTATTTTTTGTTTAATTTTGAAAAAAAAAAACAAAAAAATATTATGGAAATTAAAAATTTTTCAAAGTGAAATTTACCATAGAAAAACCAGATTTTTGCGGCAAAATTTGTTTTAATTAATTTTTATATATAGTTAATGTGTTGGCCTGCTAGTAACGAAGAGGTCTAGTCATTTAAAATAATAATAATCTGTTTATGTATTAGTAAATTCTAAAATCATTATAAAATTGTGGCAAATATTTAAGATAAATTCAAGTTATCTGACTGCAAAACTCAATGTTTCATTCTGAGTTCTTTCATTTTTAGTTCTTTTTCTAGTTTTTGAACCTACTACAAAAGTGTAACTCAATTTATTATTTGTTTACCCAAAAAAATGTTCACATTCGGGTAAATAACCGCAAATTTTAGGCATAATCAATTAATTTTTAAATTTCATATTGCATTAACACGGGTTTTTGAAATTTGATAAGGTGTTTAAGATTTAAATTTCGTATCACTCTTCATTGTGGACAGCTTTACTTCTCTTGATTTGAAAAATTGTTCGTACACCTAAATTTCTTCTCACTATTTTTATTGAAAAAATAGTGTCCTTTGTCCAATGACATCATTATTTATTCCTGCTCGTTTCTGAAATTAATTAATATTTTCAAAATAATTTTTAAATAAAACTAAGTAAATTAATTAATTTTTCATTACTATTATTTTTTTTTTACTTTTTTTAAATAAAAGTGAATACACAAAAACAAAATAACATTTAAAGGAAATTTTAATTAACAGCTTAAAATAATGAAAAAATCAAAACATATAAAACTGTTAAAATCACCTAGTTATATAAGAAGAAAATTTATTTATTTTTTTTTTATTTTTTATGTTCTATAGATATTCAAACTTAATGAAGACACTATATTTTAAATAAGTCTAGCTGGTAAAATTAAAATATATATATACAATATATATTCTTATATAATATAATAATTGGCTGGATCTTAACGACGATGAATAAAAATTATTATAAAAGACGTATATATGATAAAAAAAACAGTTCTTCCGTTTCAATTCCATAAATCATAAAAAATAAAAAAAAAATAAATAAATTTTCTTCTTAAAAACAAAAAAAAAAACACCAACAAACAGCACTATTTCTTTAACATTAACTTTAACATCGTTGTACTCTACAATTTAAGCTATAGTCATAATTTACAAAATAAGGCAGTTAAATACATTTAAGGGCTACAATATTTCTACTCAATATGCTTATGATAAATTCTATAAGATTACATAATTATTTACACTTAATATAAAAAACATTTTTTCGAATTTTTTTTTTTTTTTTTTTGTAATTTTAGGTACAATCAATCAATTGCGATTGCTTTATTGTATTTTCAACTTTGAACTCAATGTTTTTTAGGTTCATCATGAGCATGTTCAGCTGCTAACCGTGCTGCTTTTGAAATATCTTCTGGAATATTTGTTCCTGATGGTATAAATCCTTTATCATCAGCTGTATAATGTACTTCAACATTTTGTCCATCTTTATCAACATATCTATATGTTCCAGTTATTTCTAAGTAAGCATCTTCTGTTCCAACATTTTTAGGTATAGCTTTTTCTTCACGGAATGAACCATCAGCACCTTCAAAAAGGAATGAATATGAACCATCAGCATTAACATCAGTTTCTGATTTTAAAATAGCAATTGGTTCATCAGCAGGACGTGCCTGTGTAATTGCAATTATTGCTAAAAGTGCCAACTATAAGAAAATGTTTTTTTTTTTTTTTTTTTGTAGATTATTAAAGTAAAATTCAGAGCATAACATTTAAAATTCTATCGTAGAAACAAAATTGTTCCTAAAAATAGAAAAGAAAAAAATTAATTGAATATACTTACGAATTTGAACATGATGTTGTTTTGTTGATTTTGACGGCGTTTAAGAATGACAACTAAATCGGGTTTCTGACATTCAAGAACTTTTTATACCACCATTTTTTATGTTAATTTTTATTTTTGCCTTTTGTTTTTTTTTTTCTTTAGTTTATTTTCGCTAATATATTTCATTTCGAATCCAGTTCCGTTTTATTATCTAACACCTTACCGATTCGTATAAATGACGTTTTTCTCAAAAATAATCTACCTTTTATCTTTATTATACTGTTTTTCTCGCAAGTTGTTTTTTACTAAAAATGTTAACAAATCGCTAATAGAAATTTGTGTCTGGCATTTTAAAATCTTATAATTTGTTTTGGCAAAAATTTGATGATAATTGATTCTCAAGGTATAGTTAATGATTTTGTTATCACTTTTATGAGGTTGTTTTATAATTAGCAAAATCATTGCTTTATAATGATGTAGCTGACAGAATTTTTTTGGTACATCTTTCTGGAAAGAAATATTTTAATAAATGTAATGAAATTAAATGTAAAAATAATTACTATTTCAGCTTATTTCATTTCCGGATGGTGTGTGTGCACATTTTGAAGTGCAAGCCTTATATGTATTTGCATTTATGTTCCATATTACTCCAGATTTACGACAATATTTCGGCAAGCAATAAACTAAAAATTCTACCACAGATACTAAAATATACGCCACGGGTGAAATATTAAGGCTACCCAAATTTGAATTTTTACTAATAATTAAATTTAAAGCGAGTTTTAAACTCTAAAGCATTTTTAACACTCTAATACAGTTCAATAAAATTTTCATGACATAAAAAATCATGTAATATAAATATGTCACTCACAATAAGTGTGACCAACTACACAAAAACAAAAAAAAGAACAATACTAATTCCAAGAAGTAGGAAAAAAAATTGTTTTGAATATTCATTAAATGTGAAGATTAAATTTTTAGAAATGTTTTATTCAAATTAACTTTTTTCATCCATTTAGTATTCTTTTTTAACAATTTTCAATTTTTGATTTTTTTTTCTTTTGATATTTTACTGTTTATTATGGAAATAAACCTAAAAAGAATTATGATTGTTATTTTTTTTATTTGTTTTTATTTTTGTAACCGTTCACATTTATATTTCAATCAGTTTTCTATTACTGGATATTAAGTAATAATTTTGAAAATTCATAAATAACAAAAAACAAAGAAAACAAAAATTCAATACTCATAAATTAAGAAATTGAAAGTTTCTTCAAATTATGTAAACAAATGTGAGTTTTATTTTTTTTTTAATAGCCTAAACACCTTTTATTCCGAAACCATTGCTTCATCTCTCAATTTCTTAAACAATATTAGAAAGTGAATAATTAAATAAGAGGAAGAGAGTATAAAAATTTTTAAAAAATTTTAAGAGAAAATAATTTTTTATTATAATTTTAATTTTATTGTGAGAAACGTTGAGAGATGAAGAGAAAGAAAGAGAGAAAGAGAGAGGCGGCGGCGCAAATAATATAAAAAAGGCTAATAACCTGACCTTGCCAAATTTTTATGATTATGAAATAGTTAAACTGCTATTGACCTTTATCAAGGTCAAATTTAATATGCACAATAACTTTTCTGATGTTGTTTTTCATGTCATAAAATACTGGAATATTTGGGATGGTGACTTTTATTATGGGTTATTTTTTTTTTTTTATAGATAATCTAAAAATGCGCTTTATTAGACAAAAAAAAAACTATAAAAAATGTCATTTTTTATATTATCGTTAATAAATAAAAAATGAATTTGCTTACAATAGAAAATGAACAGAAAAGTTAAACTGGTTATAAAAAATTTAATTTATTGCATTTCCTTTTTTTTTTAATATTTGATTTTATAGAATTATTTTGATTTTTATGAATAAAAGCAGGATATTAGGCTTTTATCGTCTTCCGAAACTGGCGTTAGACTTATATAGTTTATAAAGAACGTTTTATATAGTGTCTGTATACCTTAATTTTATTGACAGACAGGGACTACTCGAATTATATCACATCTATTCTAAATATGCAATAATGATTCTTCCATCGAGATTTTTTGTACATACATAATATTGTCGTGCAAGGCAGAAAAAAATTGCATTTATTTGTGCTCTAAAACTAAAATTGTTCTCGACGTTTAAGAAGCATATCAATATGGAATATAGAACTGTGACACTTTTATCGGGAAAATATAGAAATTTTTATTGTGAACACAAACCAAATTTTTAAAAATGATTCGTGTCTGTAATTAAATTATGAAAATTTATTCTACTCAAGTGGAAATAACTTGATTTAGCTTATTCTTTCAATAAAAACACAAAAAATTCATTTTTATTAATTGACTACAAAAATATCAAATTAAAATCTTAATATTAATGTGAAGAAGTAATAGCTAGCATTTACTAGAACACAATTATTTCTCAATAAAATTTTAATTAATTTTAGTTTGTTGCAGCATTTTTAAACACATACAAAATGATTATATAAATGGCTAGATTTTAAACAGTTACCGCACGAAAACTGTGGTACCATGTTTTTTTTTTCAATATTTAATTGTGATGTTAACATTCAATTATAATTGAGTTTTGAATTTCTGACAAAATTTGCGTGGTTTTTTTAATTAAAGTTCATAATAATTTTTCTTTTTCTTTCCCTTTTTTTTTTTATATTTGTGTCTTTTAAAGATTCTACATTTAAACAAGTTTCTATTTTTAATAATTCAAATTCAATTTCGTGACATGATTTAATAAAATCAGAACCTCCCAAACAGAAGATAATAGAAAAAGATTAATAAATAAATTTTTTTTATTTTAATGGTGTTAAAGATTTACCACAAGAAGAAGAATAAAATTATATTAAAAATTTTAGCTATTTTAATTTTAATTTCTGCATTTATAGTATATAAAATGAAAATATTTTTAATAGTTAAGAATTGCGTGTTAATTAACTACCAAAATAATATTTTGGTAAATTAACTTAATTAATATTTATTTGATAATTTTTTCTTAAATAAGAATTTCAACATACTAATTGTATGCACTTGAAACTATTTAATACTGGATGGTTCCATTATATTTCCTACGAAAAGTAACTGTAGAAGTCTAGATCATGATTATGGTAGTTTTATAATGGCACTCATGTATTTGACATCGAAGCATAATTAAATGAATGTATAGTAAGCAGTTTCTATTTAAGTGTTAAAGCAATTTCATTTATATCCCCGAATTGTATTTAAGTTGTGCTAGATTGTGATCAATTTGGAGAAATAAAAATTAAATATGATTTTACAAATAACATTAAAACTTTCTTATTATCTTATAGAATAATTGATATTATACTCATTAAAAATTGCAAAAAATTTTTCATTAATTTCAATCATGGCAGTTTCTAGACATCAGCGGTAATATGCATGCCTCTTAACAGCCTGAAACAACCAGATCTTCATAGATGTTTGAATTCATTGCCGCATGAACCAAAATCTTCAACATTTGTTACACCAGACTGTGTTTTATATTCTGGAATAGTTCCCCATTCGTATTCTTTCTTTTTAGAACTGCTTAGTTTGTTATGTTATCTAGCCAAGATATTTTCAACATTCTCCGAAATGTCTATATTTTAAACGTCTCAATTGTTTGTTTATGTTATCGATTTGACTTTTCGATGATATACAAGGTTGCCTCGGTCTTCTTACTATTATGTATTTTGTCTTGGATGCATTTTCTTTAAACAGAAAACTTTACTATGTTATTTTATTTTTTTTTTTATTGGTGTGAAAAGAAAATTTAAAATTTACTATGTTAATTAATTCTGTCAACTATTTGTTTTACTAAAAAGACCTTTATTTTTCCTTTAAAACACAAACATTTTTACAACAATATATATATTAATGTGAAAATTACAATTCATAATTAAAAGTTTCAAGATCTTAATTCATCATTTTAGCATACTGTAAGAGCGCCATTGGTCGTCAAAAATGTTAATTAAAACTTATCAATACGGTAGAGATGCCAATATGGTAGAGGTCACTTATTGTAATTTTAAATAATGTATGTCATATTTAAATTAAAGATATACCAATATAATGTGTTCACACAAAAGCATCATCACCTATCATCATCACATATCATTTAACTCAATTTGATCTAATTTAAAAGTAAAAATCATGCAATTTACTTAAAGAAAACAAATGCTTTCAAATTCAATAACAAAAATGTAGGGTGGTGTTCAAATGAATTTGAATAATCAAATAAAATTGTATGGGGTCAAACAGAATAAAAAAATTTGATGATATTGCAAAAAAATAAAAAGAAATATTGTTTTTCTATCAAATTAAAGGTCAAATTTGGAAATCAAAAAATTCATTTTTATTTTTTTTACATTTTGTGTGCTCTAATGTAATGACTTGATATTATTTTATGTAAAGAAGAGAACATCAAAATTCTTGTTAAAATCAAAATTTCTGAATGCAAAAAATTAAAAAAAAATTCAGTTTGTTTTTTTCATTATGAAGGTCATAAATTTTTATTGAATTTTTCTTGTTCATATATGAAATTTGTATTCTGCCACATGTCTCATTATAATTTTGCAACAATAATGCAATATAAAAGGAAAAAAAGTCATTCTTTGAAGAAAAACTCATGCTGATGGACAATTTTTATTGTTTGTTTCATTTTCATTTGATTTCAACTCATTTCAATTATGCTTCTCTTCTACATTTTTTGTCATTAAACAATTTAATCTTAAAATCATTGAAACGAAAATCGATTATTTTATATATTCGATTTATTGTATTTATTTTAGTATTATTATTTGTTTAACTATTCATTAGTGATAATTAAGCATTTTTTTGAAAAATTTACTTTTGATAGAAAAATCACTGATATCTTTTGTTTTTTGATATTTAAACCAATTCAATAATTTTTCTATTATGTTGATTACTGACTACTTGAGTACTTGTCTTTGAAGAATGAATTTCCAAAAAAAAAAAAAAAAAATAATTTTGATTTCATTGTTCTTCATTCGATTAAAAAATTATGACAAACCGCGAAACAAAAAAAAAATCGTATCGAAATTTGTTTTTCTTTTTCTTTCGTTCATTTTTGCTATTT